TGGGAGATTTTACATCCCCTACCCCAATGGTAAAATTTTGTGAACATACACATATATAAAGGTCAGTGATGGCATGGTTGAACACAACACATCTTTTATTCCAGTGCACAGAGCTACCGTGCTTTATTCCTGAAATAAATACAAAAATGGATATAGAAATGGCTTCATTTAAAACACTACGGCATTCTTTCCCATTTGTAGGCGCATTCGAAAAGGTATCGGGTTACAAGACGCTATTTTGGCCTGTTTTGGACTACCCGCAAAACATATTGTTTTTGCTCTGTTTCATCATCCTCTTCTTCTCCAAACACTGACCTCTGACCTGGTCAATGACCTGAACCAGACCGTCTCTCACCATGGTAATTGGTGTCGGGTTACATCATGTTGCAATTTTATAGCAGGAAGGATTTAGAATATGAATGTGTTTGAGTAGCAGAGCACACCATATGCGAAGGTATGCATTTGCTTTCCAAATGTTACCTTTATTTTATTTTTTTTATGAAGATTTACCACATTTGTGGAAGGATTAACATAACAGGTGACTATCACCTCTTCAAGATGTCAAACCTGAGACCAGACTGTAAGACTCACACCTTTTTAGTTTCATAATAGGAATATGATGCAATATTTATAGATATAAAACTATGTTTTAAAAACAATAAAAATCATTCCTTGTCTACGAAACTCATTGGCCGTTGTGACAAGTATTTGCTCATCGGTCCTGAGCTTCTATTGTTGGTTATGGGAATGGGAACGGTTATTTCAGCGGACGTGGCGAAAGGTTCTCGGTGTTATTGAATCTACTCACGTCCTACGAGCACTCAGAATACACTAGGTATGCCTCTCGACATCCACAAGAGATGTCGTGCAATCGCAAGAGAGACTTTGAACTATTACACAACGTTCAGGGGTGTTTTAGACAACCGGGTCACGCCCGACTGTAACCTCGGGGTCCCTTTGTAGTAGGGAAATCAGGCTGCCTGCATACTGTTTTCTACGCGCGTAAGCTATTACGGTGCCAGGCTCGTTAGTTCCATCTTCTAGTCCACGTTGAGATATAAAGCCCAATTAATGTCAGATAAAAGTAGAAATCAGAGACTCCCGGGAAGTGTTTGGGTTTTCCGGGAATGTACCTGAACAGTACGAGGAAGTTAGCATGAAAGGTCATCTGAGTTGGTAAGGCCACGGCTGGTAAATTTTATGGATGACTTTCTCTGCAGATTTCAAATCTAATGCAATAGGGTGAAAAAAAACAAGATTCTTACATTTTTCCAGTTTTGACAGCATAAACCTTGTTAAACAAAATGATACCTGTAGTTTTCAATCATTTACAGTATAAAACTTTTAATCATTTTCAAATGGTTTTGATTCAGTGGGAACATCACATATAAAGGAATTATATTAATCACTGCATCAAAGTAAAAGACAAAACAATAAATCGAATATATCAGAGCATTGTCTTGTCTCCTCTCTTCATGTTTACCTGCAATCCACGTTCTGCCATGGCAACATCTTTGCCCATTTTTGGCATGTTGACCATTTTCAAAGGGCAATAACATTTAAGTTCGCCAGGATATTTCTAATCATGGCAATCACTTGATATCTTTATTAATATTTGCAATCAGATACAGATATATATTCATGCACAGATACAGATTCATGTACAGATGTACAGTTACAGATTTTTAGAGTATGTGTCAGTTCCTACACCTGAGTTGACACGGTGGTTTAAGGTGGATAACAGGTTGCGAACCTGAGACCCACACACTTGGGCATCTGTCTTACAGCAAGTCAAATTTATGGATGACATATTTTGCAGACACCAAATCTAAGGCGAAAAAAACAAGGCGGGTCAAAAAAACAAGGTTCATACACTACCAAAAATGCTTTTCCTTGTTTTTCTTGTTTTCCTTGTACAAAGAAAATGTATCTTGAAGCAAGAAAACCCACCCGAAACAATACTTCCGCGCCCGAAACTAACAAATTCGAGATGTTTGCGATGTCTCTGTCGTGTTTAATATCCTGTGTACCAATTTGGGCTGAGCACACAGTGCTATAATGGATCTACAGGACACTGAATCTCTCTATTCTTACTTGTTAGGTATAGCCTTGAAATACTTTATCATATAAGCCAGCTTACTCTACTCAATCCTACTATTCATTTTGCTCTCTCATCACTTGCTCAATACGACATGCTCAATTCAAGCGTATGCATTCACTACTTAACGATGAAAGCAGAGGTACGGTGAATAATACATCCAATTCATACGATTATTACTATGAAGAGAACGATAATTTTGGAGGAATTTTTCTTGTTGCTTGAACAACCAAGGCGTCGATGTTATTGGTAGATGTTAACACATAAGGCTGAACGAAAGGTGGCTGATGTTCCTGTGCACGAGAGATTATGTAAATATTGTACAATGAATGCAGTGGAAAATGAAATACATTTTGTTAGCCAGTGTCCTCACTATGAGACCGAAAGAAACAGATTATTTCAGACAGTAACAACAATCTCTCCATCATTTCGTCATTTAGAAGATCACCAAAAGACTACATTTCTACTAAGATCACAAAACCCACTAATTATGCAGAATGTGGGACTATTCATTACCCATTGCCTTCAAAGAAGAAGTCGAACCCCTTAATAGCTAGACTAGTAGTAGAAGTAGAGGTTTTTTTCCAGACAGATTGTTACCTGTCTCCTGTTTCTGTATACTTGACTGTACAAGCAATTAGCCTTCGGGCATGATTTTGCAAAATAAACAAACATTATATTAGCATGATAACAGTTCGGAGGTAATTCCCACTTTAGCAGCCATCTATTCTGGTGTACGTTGTTATGATGCTGAATTAGTTGAAAGGGGTCATGAGCCCATGTACCGCAGAGCGGGTATATATAGCGTGGTTGCGTTAACGGTAAACCAGCCCAGATACTGCGCACTAAAGGTATACATAATGGGGTGGTTAAAGGTATGGTGCATTCAGGGTCAAGAAATTGGCGACTTGATACCTCCATGACATATGCGTTGTGTTTTTGTGAATTCCTTGCTTTGTTCGTTTCTAATTTTTACCATCAGTATTATGGGCTTTGATGTTTACGTCTTTTCTTGCTGCCGGATTTCTGGGACCTAACTTCTTTTTTTTTAGGTCTGTGGTTAGGGAATTTCCCCCACCCACGAGTTGTCACTTAACTGCACGGCATGGGCGCAAAGAAAGTTATACTGTCACACACACTCAGAAGCAGAAGCACACACACACACACACACACACACACACACACAAACACACACACACACACAGACAGACACATGCATGCATAGTTTCACACACAAACAATCATAGTACCACTATGACAAAAAGGACTAACGTTCCGTCCAACATTGAGTGAATTGGGACTTACCCAGATTTGGGACCAAATCCCAGTACGTGACTGTACTGCTATCCTCGACACTACTCTCCTAGCAGAGGTTGGGGTTTTGGGTTATTTTTGGCGTGTTTTAGGCTTTTTATTACTCCAATTAAATGTGCAATTAAAATTGAGTGTAACGGATCGTTCAGTGTGATATAGCTAGCTGCCGCCGCAGACGAAGAATGTTAGAAGAATCAAGCAAAGAAGTATTAAGAATACAAAATGTTCAAAAAATGCATATGGCAGAGTCAAATACCCTGGTATACAAAATTTCCTCCATCACCATTCTCATGGCTCAACTAAAAATGAATTACCACTGATTAAATGACAGTACACAGTTTATGATACTAATTGACTATTGTATAGAAAACAAAGTTCGTCTTATTTTAGACTACACATAACAACAATTTATTTATTTTCTTATTTATAAGAACCATTGTTGCTCTCTTCTCACATGTAGGTTTACCCCAAAGATGCGTTCATCTATCAAAAGGTGGTATTTTTCTGATCTAAAGCTTCTCGTGTTTTTTTAAAGTTATATTTATTGAGTATTGGGCAAAAAGCACCAGTTGCTTATTTGGCAGCCTCTACTCAAAAACATAAAATGAGTATAAAACACATTGACAAGATACGTTCATAATTACAAGGTGGATAAAACCAAGATAAATACAAACAAGACAAGTTGGTGATCTATCAATTACGAGTATCTTCCCGTGCAGTAAATGAAGTTTTGAACTACATCAAAAACATTACAGTTTTGCAGGTGTGAAAGAGATGTGGACCCTCGTACTAGTAAAGAACTCTACCAGGCTTGGGGAGGCGGCCAAGGGAGTTTGTCCGTTGAGAGAACATTTCGCCGCACCCGTTCTCTCAACGGACAAACTCCCTTGCCATGCTTATCTCTCCATTTGGCCGATTTGTACTCTTTCCAGCCGCCTCCCCAAGCCTGGTAGAGGCTAGTAAAGAACATAGGGAATTGTCATTGACATGCTGTAACTCGAGATGATAACAGAGTACTTCTTTGACTAGAATAAAGTTTACAATGTAGAACGTAGTGTTCGGTTGTTTCACTATAATAACCACATTTACATGTAGAGTAGTCAATGCAATAATGTTGATATAGATGGTAGTTTAACTGCGGGAGTTTTTCTAGAAAAATTTAGCATGAGGGAGCAGATCGCAAGCATGGCGAGGAACAAAGCGACCGAGGGTTTCTCTTTTTATTAAGAGTAACACAGTTTGTAATGCTAGCATGCATTGTTGTATTGCTTTTGCACCTTTACTGGAAAAAAGATCATTTTGAGAAAGACTAAATGGTGTGTAAGTAGCCACATAGGGTCCAATTTGAAAATTGGTATGAGGGAGCTGGCTGGTTACATGAAGAACCTTATTGCACGACAAATGCACATGGTACATTGTATGGCAAACTACATAAAGAGAGTAACAACAATAAAATAAGTGTGTTGAATAAGACCTAATGTCGAGTAAAACCTAACATATCTATATAATAATCATTCAAATAATAAGGGATATCACAAGTCGTTGATAAAGTGTTACAATCAAGTGGGCTAATCACAAGTTTCGGTATTTTTTCTAATAGCAAAGCATTCCTTTATATATCTACCTATTTTATGAGGAAGCAGCTCCCTTATTCCTCTGTTTAGAAAAAACCCTGAACTGACTGGTATACCTCTTCTCCTTACTCCTGGCATATGTAGGAAAACACTAAATCGAGATGGTTCTTGATTACGTGGGGAAACGGATGTACTACGTACGTAGTACACACCGACATCTCCCAAACATCCATCACGTAGATGTCCAGACCGCCCAGAATTCGCTTGGCTTCAAGCACTAACTGATACGCATACCAGTTATTGTAGAACAGATAGTACAACAATCCAGCGTGTCCACGCATGTTACCCGTTCGCCATATGACCTTTGTGTCAGGGTACTTGGCGTGTAAACGTTCGATGGCGTTCCGAATTCCGTACACGCGTGACCGAAACGTCTCGATGTGTACAGCAGTGTAATGTGCCCATATGCTAAAAATGATGACCACATCTGGTCCACCAACAAGTCCGTCAATTATATCTACAGCATACTTGCCGCCCATAGCGTTGTTTGTGGGATGAGTACGAGGATAGTTATGGAATTCGAAATTAACCTTTATACTGTCATGAATGTCTTCTGTTTTCTTTACATCATTGGGCAACTGGGCATTCATTTTGTCGACTAATTCGTTCAGATAGTCTTTGTATTGTCGCGCTGTGGAGTCGCCAAATAGGTAGAAGGTTTTGTTCTTCAAACATTTGTAGGTTGCCGGGGAGGGGGAGAAGTGTGAGGACTGGCACCTGAGAGAAGTCCAGGTTTTGTTGTACCAGTATCCCTCAGATGTGGTCTTCGGTAGACGAGGGCCGCATGTTGGCAAGGGACGTCCTTCCATCTTCGGGGGTCCAAGATGGCTCCCTGCAGTATTGAGCATAACACGCTAAGACTAAGTCTTGTTTCAACACAATTCATACAACTAATTACATATATTATTGACCAGTACTACTTAATTTCCTGTATCTATTATATATTATGTTAAGTTATAATTTATGTTATATCTGATTCTCTGTACCTTTTGATTTGTTTTGATTTTGTATTTTGTCGGTGCCTTATAAGCCCATATGGGCTGGGCGGCATATTGATCGCAATGGCACGATAATAAACAGTCATTCATTCATTCATTCATTCATTCATTCATTCATTCATATATTTGAATTATGCTTAACCTTCTATTTCGATTACCTCTTCTGTGTATTGCTATAATTATTGTTATTGACTATGTAATTTTGATGTTGTATATGTGTTTTTGTATGGGGGAGGGCAACTTATAAAAAAAAGGTGTGTATGCACCTGTTTTGCCCTTCCCTTTCACTTTGTGAAAAATCAAAATAAACAAATAAATAAACAAAAAATCGATGTCAAACTTTTGTATAAATTTGCTTCAGTGAATTTAACCAATTCCTTATTATCATACCAACATTGCAGACATGCATATAGAATTATGATTTTGCCTGAATGACATTATTGGTATTGGGTTTTGGGCTATTTCAAACGCTTCAAGAATGAAGTAATGAAGAAAATGTGCTAAGAAAAGACAGAAAATGCCAAAATCTGACAGATTTGCTCATCCAGAATATATTTCTTTTCGTTTCGAGGACATACTCAGGTGTAAATGAGTACCTAGCTTCGGTTAAGCCTCGGTCACAACTCGCCGTGCGTGCTTTTTGTCCGGACGTTTTTGTCGTGGCTACGTCTGCTACGTTTTTTCTGCAAACGTAGGGTGGCCGGCCGAGGGAGTACGTCACTCGCAAGGTGTACGTACGTGGTCTGCACGACACGCCTGGCCGATAGCGGTTGCGTGCTAAGGAAGTTGCGCAAGTGGTAAGTGAGTTGTACGTGCTTACAACGTACGATCTCTGTGTGATTGCCACGTTGCCGCGTACAGGCCGTACCTACACGTGCGGCGTGCGCACGATTTCCTTACTCACTCGCACGTTGTAAGTGCGTGCACCTCCTGTTAACTTCATCATCACTAGCCGCCCTGGTGTCTTCCGCGGCCCGTTTCTTTGGATCTTGTCTGGAGCCTTCCTGGGCATCTTGGAGACGAGTTGGCGGTCGCCCGTCAAGTCGTCTTTATATACTGTAGAAATCAGGTGCGTTGCACGTGCGTTGCACGTGCGGAGCACCTAGTATGGTGCACGTGTGTTCTGCGTGGTCATTGAGCAGGTCAACTGGGAAGTGAGGAGTAAGCACGGATGACGCAAGCACCGTGCGTGGCACTCACGTGCTTCGTGCGTTGTCCGTACAGCAATTGCACGTGAGAATAGTGAAGTTAGACTCACGGAGTCCGTACGTTGCACGCTCATAGGCTGTACGGGGCACGCGCGTCGCACGTACTCGCACGCACGAGTGGTAAATCCGCAGACCGCACGTAGAAAAAGTATTACATGCACTTAAGGTTCTACGGCGTGTCTGCGTGCTCCCAAATCCGTAGGATTCCGCACGGTGGCGGTACTCACCACGCACGGATGCCGTACGTTTGCCCACGTTTTTGCACGTAGACAGCACGCAGAAGCACGTACGGCGAGTTGTGACCGTCGCTTTAGGGACGTCCCTCGGATAGGACGTTAAGATGGAGGTCCCATGTTTGGGGAGAGCCACACCCAAAGCACGTTAAAGAACCCACCACACCTTTCGAAAAAGAGTAGGGGCATGTCCCGGTTTGCGATGGTACAAATTCTACAATCCGGAGTCTTGCCAAGAATTGGCATGCCAGAATGATCTGTATGATGATCGCGGGTATTAAAGGAAAGACGACAACAGTTTAATTTTCGTCATGTGTTTTACCAACTCAGATGAACTTTCATGCTAATCGTACTTACCTTTGTTTTGAACAGTAATCCTGATGTCATTTGGAACTTCCTGATTTACTTGGTATCTGTGAGGAAAGTAAGAAAAGAAAAACATGATAAAACGGCTCGAATTGTTGTAATCGTTTCAAAACAGTTTGTTCTTTTTCGATTAGGCCATGTTAATTTGATTATATGGATGACATCCTCTGGGAACCCTAAAACTGATCCGAGCGTGCGAATAAAAAAAATGTAAATTAGGCCACACCGACTTAATTTTATGGATGACATCCGCGCGCGCATTGATTTTCGCCTGCCAAACAAAAAAAGATCACGTCCACCGAGGCTCTGGCTCTAGACCTGGGTAGTCCATGGTAGTTAGCACCCAGGCTATCGAATTCAAAGTTCCACGACTCAATAACTCAGTACATACGTACAGTACCGATTCATAAATGCCGCAAAAAGCCAGAATGTGCCGGCTTGTCGTATACATCGCTAAGTACTGCCGCGAATTCACAATACCAGCTTTGTATTCCTGTGGTTTAGTAGAATTTTTATTTTTGGCCGGAATTTTTTTATTCGCCCGCGCGCACTAGTTTGGGGGTCTTCAGAGGATGTCATCCATAAAATTAAGTCGGTGTGGCCTTACAGGAAATAATTACAGACTTTTTATTTTCATTTTTTTCACAGTTTCTTCTTTTCCTGAATTGATTTTGGCATTCGATAACATTAGTATCCATCCGAAGAGTAATTATGATATGTAATATGTCATTCTTTGTGGCCCTAAACACCCATTTTCGATTTTTTTGGGTCTATTGTCTATATACAGACATTCAACTGTCTATTAATGTTGTATTTGCTAACATTTAATGTCATTATGCATGTAGTCGGACCAAATACTATACGATACGTTGGAATATACTATAACGCGTTATACAATTAAGCATTGTTTTTACAATTGTGTGAATGGTTAACGGTTTGGTGTATTAGAATTCTGTACAAATTACCCGAAATATGCAATTAGGCCATGTTGATTTGATTATATGGATGACATCCTCTGGGAACCCCAAAACTTATGCGAGCGTGCGAATAAAAAAAGTTTGGCAAACAAAAGTTGCTTTCATTATGTAATCTACGTGGTTATGAAGGTTGAACATATGACACTGAGTATAGTATGGCGAATAATCTACTCTTAAACTTAATTTTATTTTACATTTTTGTCTTTTTTGTTTGATTTTGGCATTCTAACACATTGGTATCGTTTTCCAATGTTTTTGCAACTTATGGTATATATTTGCTCATTTTGTATAATTTAGAATATGGTTGAAAGCTTTTTTTTAAACGGCCGAAAATCTATGTGCGCGCGGATGTCATCCACATACATGTAATCAGATCAACATGGTCTTATAAGTTATACAAATAAGAACACAGCAAGTAATTTTTATGGATGACATCAACGCGCGCATTAATTTTCGCCTGATTTTGGAAAAAAAAGAGTTTTTGTTGCCTTCTGACTGTGGTCAACATGGCGAAAATGGGCAAAGATGTCTGTTGCCATGCCGGAACGTGGATGACAGATAACTATGAAGAAGAGGAGACAAGAAAAGGCTCTGAGTTAATGTTTTGTTTCTTACTCTGATGCAGTAATATGTGATACTGGCTGTGTAAATGTGATGTTCTCCCTGAATCAAAACCATTTGTACAATGATTGAGTCAAAATCTTAAATTGCAGGAACCTTGTTTTTTTCGGCTCGCCGCTTTTTTTTTCGCCCGCTTGCATTAGATTTGGAATTTGAAGAGGGTGTCATCCATAAGATTTACTTGCTGTGGCCTAAGTGGAATCTACTGTACCTTGTGAAGAGTTGAGCCTCATCAAGGGTAACCAACTCCTCCACGAGGGCATGGTCGGCCGTTTCGTTGTTGATGCATTTCATGATTGTCTCGCAGGCGATTCCTTTTGGCCTCCCGCAGTACCAGGTAGCATTGGGGCCCGGCTTGGAAAAATCACACACCTCTTCCGGATCAATCTTGTAGTTAGGGTAAAAGCCACATTTCGTCCATTCCGAAATGTTGGCTTTCTGATCGGAAAACTGGCACCAGGTATTGCGTACGTCTGAATAGGTGTCGTGAATCCTTTTTAGAATTTGGATGGCTTCGCTAGGGTGTACCAGTATGACTGACACGGAAAAATTGCCAGACAAGGGTAGAAGAAACGTGGCTAGGTAAATACCATTTCCGTAGTCTGTTATCTTACCAGACGTACAGGCCTCTGTCGGAGATTTTGTATGAAGCTTTGCCAAGAGGAAATCTTCACCGTACGATTTCGGCCGCCCGTTTGCATCTCGAGCCACGATTTTTACTAAAAGCGTTTCTCCAACTTGATACACGGTCTTGGGGTTGACTACGGATGCCGACATGTTGGCAGCGGTGGTGACATGATTCAGGTCAATTGGATTGCGTTTATTTGAGGAAACTTTGGCTGGTGAAACAACGGGTTTTATCTCCAATATTGTTTGTCTTTTATACGCAGGTGGATGGAAAACCGATTTCGGGTTCTTGTTGTAAAGCGGTCGCGGAGTCTTCTGGTTGTAAATCTCCACCTGTAGCGAAATGCAGGGGGGGGCAATAACATTTATTATCATATAAATACATAATTTTGAAGTTCGTAGATCGATTACAAAGATGAGAATTTCTAGCCATAAATTGAATATAGAATTAGGAAGATATAAAAAAATCCCCCGCGACCAGAGGTTTTGTCCATTCTGTCCCAATGATATTGAAGACGAACAACATTTTATATTGAATTGTACACTATATAACGATAAACGCACAAAGCTGTTCAACCTTCTCTCCGCCTGCTCAACATAATTTGTTACATTTCATGCTATAGATAAATTTAAGTTCATCCTAGAATGCAATAACCCTTACTGTGTACAAATAGGTAAATATATCAAAGAATGTTTAAACCTTAGAACAAGTAGTATTAGTTGACCCACCTATTGTTCTGTACGTAGGATATTTTCGTTGTACCCATGTTTATTTGTCTGTATATCTACATGTCTTAGACCTTACGAAAGTCGCTGTACTTTTGTTGTGTCAATAAAGTTCTCTATTGCCAGGTGGCGTTGACCAATCAGAAGCCCCCATTCCATATTATAAAGCCGCGCTCACTCGGTGGCTTTATTCGGTGGTTATAGCAACTGATAAGGCTGTATCACACCATATACACCTCGAGCTCCGGGCGGGGCATTAACCCTTAACTCAAATTTTTACAAAAGTTTATTGCAAATTCATGCCCGGAAGCTAATTGCAAATTACAAACATAAAAGAACATTGAAACAGAGAATACAATAACTAAAATCTACATAATGAAAGACAGTTGTCTAAAACTATATCTATGTCTAAAACTATGGGTTTGACTTCTTTTGGAAGACGTAATGTCCCACCTTTTCCAAATTTGTGGGTTTTGGGAAGTTAAGAAAATTTTTTTTCCTTGTCTGTAAGTTTAGAAAAATTGGGATTTCAATTCATTTCGAGCGTCGTTATGAAACGAACAGTTTCCGATAAAGTGTATTTCGTCTTCCCCAGGACATAATGTCCTTGGTCTTCCCCAGCCATTGCACTACAATATTTACAAATTCTTTCACATACAGGTAGCCTTCTATACCGATCTCTCTCTATACTGGCTATACAGATACAGAAGCTGGTGTGTTACGCCGAATGGCGGTTAAACAGGCTATACAGATACAGAATAACAGACAAAATTTCACTCACCGTTCTTATATACATGTACGAGGCAACGATTGCAGAGAAGCAGAGTGATACGAGTAGAAGGAAGGAAGGTCCCTTTGCTCCCCCCATTGCTTCTAAAAAAACAACAAACAGATATATGCATGTACATATAGATTCAGATTTTTTTGAATATCGACTGGTATGTCACATTAAGTGCAAGAAATATTTACAACTTGTGCTCAACTGTTACAACTAGATATCATAAAATCCTTCATATAAACGCGATAGAATACATTATAAAAACGCATCACATCAATGAATGCAACAGCTAAACATCCTAAAATCAGTATTACCAGAGAAGAATAACACCATAAAAATGATTAAACCACTATACTAGTATATACAAAGATCAGTAGACAATAGCTTCAGCGCATGGGGTACAAAAGTCCGTTCGTGTCTTTTCGTTTTACTAGATGTTGAGGCAGTGACTAGTTTAGGCCACACCAAGTAAATTTTATGGATGACGTCCTTTGGAGACTCTAAATCTAATGCGAGAGGGCGAGAAAAAAACAAGAAGGGTCCTAAAAAACAAGATGCCTAGATTAGAGATATACTAAGAGACGACAAATGTTAGGACACAAATTGAATGAGGTGACACAGTGTAACAAGCAAGAAGTATTTTATTCATTATCAAAACAGCAATAAATCAGGAGGAACAGCAGTTGTCCTGTCCTGTTTTCGCGTTACGGGTTTCACGTAAATCTGACGATTTGCGGCACTGTCGTGACTCTTTGGTCATAGTTACAGGAAGCGGAATTTCTTGTGTTTTTTTCTAGGAACAGGCCAAAATCAATGCGCGCGCGGACGTCATCCATAAAATTTACTTGGTGTGGCCTTACCTCTGCGCAGGTTGTAATTACATTGTGCCGGAATGGATACAATAGCATTGCCTCGTGTGGATTCCAAGAAAGCCCCTGAGACAACTCGGCCCCTGAGACAACTCGGCCCCTGAGACAACTCGGCCCCTGGCCATTCAGGAAAACTCGGCACCAAGCCCAGGACAAGTCGGCCCCATAATTTCTCAGCAAATAATATGAATTTTGGGTAAAAAAATTGTAATTATTATCGATCTAGAAGCCTCCTGACTATGATTTTAACTTTTTTCTTAGCCTTAGTGACATAGTAGTATCTCTTATAGCGACGACGGACTTGGCCCGCGCCGCTAGCGTAACGCCCCTCGCTATGTCGGCGCGGCCCGTCCGATTAATCTAAAGCGTGACGATCCAAGAAACGACTAGACTTACAATCTATATTGATAAAGAAACTTCATGGAATCGTGAAGCATGTAGTGGGAAATGTTCAACGTTCTTTTATAATTGTATTCGGCGGGCGGGTATGATGAAAATACAATGTATGACCCCGTGAGTTTACTCGTAATTTAACTCTTTGAGCGGCGCAGCCAAGTCCGTTATCGCAAAAAGAATAACATGTCTTAGTATAGAATGAAGTTAAGATTATTGTCAGGAGGCTACTAACTCTCGGAGCCCAAAATATTGATAATTTGTTGAGAAATTAGGCCTCTGGGTGACTGGTTGTAGGAATTTTCTACAAAACGCAGTATCAAAACTCCCATTCACCCGGAGGCCTGCACAATAAGTTAACAATCACAGGGTGCAATATTTCGACAAGAAATAATGTGTTACATACGCATGTGACTGTAGAAATGCAACAGAAAATACTCCGCAAAAGTGTATTTCGTACATTTCGTATATTTCGGTAAATACACGGACCCGCCTGCACAGGAGGTTACACATATGTACTAGGAGAAGCAAAAACATGAGAGAAAACAGTCTACATGTACTTCGCCCATACTATAGTACGGGTGAAATATTTTTAAATACCTGTCTATTGGGCTACTCTTTCAAACACTGACGAAAGGTAGTGGATGCTATATACCCGAAACGTCCGACCATTTTCAACATCTATCCAGTTTCTTGGGTAACTTTGAAATTGTGTGCAAATTATTATAGAAGTTTGCATGCTAGATGCGAAAAAAAAAGTTACTCAAGCAACTGGGTTCAAGCAATTGGATATGATTTTGGAAACAGTGGACGGACTCGGAGTGCGATCTACAAGTCAAAGACTAAATGAAAAACACGACTAGTTCAGTTCATTTCTTGTGGACATGCTTTCTTCAACCCGCCGTCAAAAATACTGCACCTGCACGGTACCCAAACATTGACAAACAAACGATACAGGATACTATAAAATAGAAGGTGAACACCATTTCGTTGTGGAATGTAGTCTGTACCAAACTGAGAGAATTGAACTTTATAGACTATCGATGTTTCCCCACATTATACAGACAAGTTCACCTTTCTAATGAACTTAGACAAACCTTTCATCCTTAAACACATATGCTCTTATATTTTCACCATCATAGAGAAACGAGAATTCGAATTTACGTAGATAATATAGCACTGGTGCTAGCTTAATGCTGTATATTTGTTTGTATACACAGACGGCTCCTTTTGTACTTAACCCAGTGGGTATTTTTGTACAATAACGGTATTCATTCATTCATATACACATATACGTAATGAGGACCTTTCTGCGATCTATCGGTAAAGTGAATAAATGAAAACATTTACCTAGCGGAGTAGTTCTGACGATCTCTCAACTGCACTAGCCTGAGCAAATCTTGTTAATGATTTGGATGGTGATAGCGAGGAGAGGATAGACAAGATAATTAGACAACTTAACTACGCTAAGGCGTGGTCTAGTCATTAGAGAGGCTGAATTACCGGTTTGGTTGTGAGGCGGATGTGGACCTTTTGTTCAAAAAGTGTTGTCTATTAGTAAGCAGAGACACGATTTGGAATAGTTTTTAAACTTCTGTAGACAAAGAACATTTCGGATTGTTTTGTTTTTTCTTGTGCACAGCCACCTAAAAATAGATCACATACCCGAGTGTGATCTACCAGTGAAAAAAAAATAAAATAGAGGACGGAGATATCTCGTTTCCCATCGGCTGAACAGACAAATCACGTGACCCCTACCCTGATACTAATTATTCCGCCCCTTTACCCTCTGACCCTTCCTCCCTAACCCTCATTCGTGGCTCAACCTTTCACTGTACGGTCATACTAGTTGTCCTGCTGGCATTCCTGGCACAATATTTTTCAATAATTTCATGTCTTAATTAGATCATAGCCCCCAATTTTTTTTTTGCCCTGCAGTGGCATAGTTACTTCCGCATTCGTTGCGTTTCGCTGCGGTGTGATGCGTTGCACGAGAAATACGCCCAAATCGTATCTATACAGGATGTTATATAGATGGTACTGTATGTGCCGCGCGACATATGTTGCGCACAGCAGGACAAGGGCTAGTATAAATACATTGTATTTTCATCATACCCGCCCGCCGAAAACAATTATAAAAGAACGTTGAACATTTCCCGCTACATGCTTCACGATTCCATGAAGTTTCAATATAAATTGTAAGTCTAGCCGTTTCTTGGATCGTCACGCTTTAGATTACTCGGACGGGCCGCGCCGACATTTTTGTTGGAATTAGAGAAAATGACGTACCTTCTATCGTTCTAATATACGTAATGCGACCGTTCGAATAGTAGAGTCTTCGGTAGAAGGTAGAACGATAGAAGGTACGTCATTTTCTTTAATTCCAACAAAAATGCAATTATGACATGCGCTTTATACTAGAGAAATAATTCAAAACAACAGTTGACCAGTTTGTCGATAGAACTTGTTGGAAATATTACATCGAGGAAGGGGGAGGGGGTGGTCTTACGTCATATCCGTGACCNGGCGTTGGTAATCTCACCAGTGCCCAGCTAGCTCTTCTTTACTTCGTTTCGCCTTATTTACAATGTACGATGCTGTGTTAACATTAGCAGTAATTGACTATAACTTATAAAATCATCGTATCTAAATCATCGTATTTAAAATTTTAAGAGGAACCCCTATATACAGACCGTTTGGGTTGCAGGTTTCGTCGGGAATTTTATTGTTTTATATGTTCAAATAAACAGTAAACATTTAATAAACAAATGAGAATCTGTTGTGTTTTAATGGACGATTACCCAAAATATTATCTCGTAATGACGTCTATGGCTAAAGTGGAATTTTAATGAAGAATACCCAAAATATTATCTCGTAATGAAGTCTATGGCTAAAGTGGAATTCAGTAGATTTTTTTACAAATGTGTATGTGTAATACAATTTTGTATATATTGTTTCGAATACACAGTAGGAAAACCCTGCCAACTAGCTTTAGATATCAGTACATTACTGGAACAGTTGGACAATCTCCTTATATAGTCCATGGGCCAGACCCCCAAATTTCACATATTGGTACCACCTGAGGTACCACCTTTCATCATGGTTTTTGAAAAGAAGGGTGTCTGTGGAATATTTTTTGATATGATAGCCGTTGCACATCGGTAGCTTTGACCTTGCTATCTGACCTTGAACTTTGACCTCGTATGAACCGCTTCCTTTTGCACTTATAATGCAAAGGGGGGTGGTAAATAATCAAATATGGATATTTTTCAATGTAACTTCATGGACTGATAAAACAGGAACCAAGAATTACAAAAATGTTAATTTTGTTTCGATACGTCAATTCTACAAGAAGTTATGAGCTTTCGAAATTCGATTTTTGGGTAAAAATTGGTAAAAAAAATAGAATGTTTGCTTTTCAAAACCTGTCATGTATCCGGATTACATATTTGAGGCGGCTGCATGCATTCATCTGACTTTTTGTATCATTTCCTACATTTCAAGGTTTAAATCATAAAAATCCGTCTATTCTATCAGGAGATATGAGTGTCTAAAAGTTCTACTCCCAAAGGCCTTCAGTGGGGAAAACCATTGCTAGGGCCGTTGCTAAGGAGGCACTTGGCTGCTTTCCCAGCAAAATGGAGTTCTAATATACGTAATGCGACCGTGCGAATAGGAGAGTCATCGGTAGAAGGTAGAACGATAGAAGGTACGTCATTTTCTCTAATTCCAACAAAAATGCAATTATGGCATGCGCTTTATACCAGATAAATAATTCAAAACAATAGTTGACCAGTTTGTCGATAGAACTTCGGTTGGAAATATTACATCGAGGAAGGGGGAGGGGGTGGTCTTACGTCATATCCATGACCGTTACTAGGCAATGCTTCCAAGACAAAGTTCATGCATCTAAACCCTACTACTGACAGTTTACTTTTTGCCACTGATGGCACCGAAATCGAATGTGTTGCGGATTTCAAATACTTAGGGGGGTACTCTGATAGTGTTCATGACATGGATGTGCGGATCGCACAGGCATGGAGTGCTCTTCACTCATTACATAAGATTTGGAAAGCGCCCATTAGAAAACAAACCAAGATCAAAGTGTTTAAGGCATGTATTGAAACAATTCTTCTGTATGGGTCAGAATCATGGGTCATGAATATGTCACATTCTAGAAAACTAAACGGAACATACACGAAGATGTTGCGAGTGGTTTTCAATACACCATGGTGGAAACACACTACTAATGAACAGTTATACGGTTCGCTACCAAATGTAACTTCAGTAGTCAAATGTCGACGACTAAGTTTGGCCGGTCATGTAATACGTAGTGAAGAACCAGCCAGTAGGCTTCTACTCTGGAACCCTGATACCTGTAAGAGAAGAGTTGGACGCCCAAACATAACAGTTAAGAAACTTATTGAAACTGAAACTGGCTTGGAGATACATGAACTTTTCTCAGTGATGTATGACAGACAGTTGTGGCGAACTAACTTTGTATGCTCCACCTCTACGGAGGATGAATGATGATGATGATGATNGTTACTAGGCATTATGGGAAGTGTGAAATTGGTGAATGGTCTGGCTGCCAGGCTACGTGTATCAGAA